GTGCGTGTGGTACAGTGTGTAGGTGCGTGTGGTACAGTGTGTAGGTGCGTGTGGTACAGTGTGTAGGTGCGTGTGGTACAGTGTGTAGGTGCGTGTTGTACAGTGTGTAGGTGTGTGTGTGGTACAGTGTGTAGGTGCGTGTTGTACAGTGTGTAGGCGTGTGTGTGGTACAGTGTGTAGGTGTGCGTATTGTACAGTGTGTAGGTGCGTGTTGTACAGTGTGTGGGTGTGTGTGTTGTACAGTGTGTAGGTGCGTGTTGTACAGTGTGTAGGTGCGTGTTGTACAGTGTGTAGGTGCGTGTTATACAGTGTGTAGGCGCGTGTTGTACAGTGTGTAGGTGCGTGTTGTACAGTGTGTAGGTGCGTGTTGTACAGTGTGTAGGTGCGTGTTGTACAGTGCGTAGGTGCGTGTTGTACAGTGTGTAGGTGTGTGTGTGGTACAGTGTGTAGGTGCGTGTTGTACAGTGTGTAGGTGCGTGTTGTACAGTGTGTAGGTGTGTGTGTTGTACAGTGTGTAGGTGCGTGTTATACAGTGTGTAGGCGCGTGTTGTACAGTGTGTAGGTGCGTGTTGTACAGTGTGTAGGTGCGTGTTGTACAGTGTGTAGGTGCGTGTTGTACAGTGCGTAGGTGCGTGTTGTACAGTGTGTAGGTGCATGTTGTACAGTGTGTAGGTGTGTGTGTTGTACAGTGTGTAGGTGCGTGTTGTACAGTGGGTAGGTGCGTGTGGTACAGTGTGTAGGTGCGTGTGGTACAGTGTGTAGGTGCGTGTTGTACAGTGTGTAGGTGCGTGTTGTACAGTGTGTAGGCGTGTGTGTGGTACAGTGTGTAGGTGTGCGTATTGTACAGTGTGTAGGTGCGTGTTGTACAGTGTGTAGGTGTGTGTGTTGTACAGTGTGTAGGTGCGTGTTGTACAGTGTGTAGGTGTGCGTATTGTACAGTGTGTAGGCGCGTGTTGTACAGTGTGTAGGTGTGTGTTATACAGTGTGTAGGCGCGTGTTGTACAGTGTGTAGGTGTGTGTGTGGTACAGTGTGTAGGTGCGTGTGGTACAGTGTGTAGGTGCGTGTTATACAGTGTGTAGGCGCGTGTTGTACAGTGTGTAGGTGTGTGTTGTACAGTGTGTAGGTGCGTGTTGTACAGTGCGTAGGTGCGTGTTGTACAGTGTGTAGGTGCGTGTGGTACAGTGTGTAGGTGCGTGTTGTACAGTGTGTAGGTGCGTGTTGTACAGTGTGTAGGTGCGTGTTGTACAGTGTGTAGGTGCGTGTTGTACAGTGCGTAGGTGCGTGTTGTACAGTGCGTAGGTGCGTGTTGTACAGTGTGTAGGTGCGTGTTGTACAGTGTGTAGGTGCGTGTGGTACAGTGTGTAGGCGTGTGTGTGGTACAGTGTGTAGGCGTGTGTGTGGTACAGTGTGTAGGTGTGCGTATTGTACAGTGTGTAGGCGCGTGTTGTACAGTGTGTAGGTGTGTGTTATACAGTGTGTAGGCGTGTGTGTGGTACAGTGTGTAGGTGCGTGTGGTACAGTGTGTAGGTGCGTGTTATACAGTGTGTAGGCGCGTGTTGTACAGTGTGTAGGTGTGTGTGTGGTACAGTGTGTAGGTGCGTGTTGTACAGTGTGTAGGTGCGTGTTGTACAGTGTGTAGGTGTGTGTGTTGTACAGTGTGTAGGTGCGTGTTGTACAGTGGGTAGGTGCGTGTGGTACAGTGTGTAGGTGCGTGTGGTACAGTGTGTAGGTGCGTGTGGTACAGTGTGTAGGTGCGTGTGGTACAGTGTGTAGGTGCGTGTTGTACAGTGTGTAGGTGTGTGTGTGGTACAGTGTGTAGGTGCGTGTTGTACAGTGTGTAGGCGTGTGTGTGGTACAGTGTGTAGGTGTGCGTATTGTACAGTGTGTAGGTGCGTGTTGTACAGTGTGTGGGTGTGTGTGTTGTACAGTGTGTAGGTGCGTGTTGTACAGTGTGTAGGTGCGTGTTGTACAGTGTGTAGGTGCGTGTTATACAGTGTGTAGGCGCGTGTTGTACAGTGTGTAGGTGCGTGTTGTACAGTGTGTAGGTGCGTGTTGTACAGTGTGTAGGTGCGTGTTGTACAGTGCGTAGGTGCGTGTTGTACAGTGTGTAGGTGTGTGTGTGGTACAGTGTGTAGGTGCGTGTTGTACAGTGTGTAGGTGCGTGTTGTACAGTGTGTAGGTGTGTGTGTTGTACAGTGTGTAGGTGCGTGTTATACAGTGTGTAGGCGCGTGTTGTACAGTGTGTAGGTGCGTGTTGTACAGTGTGTAGGTGCGTGTTGTACAGTGTGTAGGTGCGTGTTGTACAGTGCGTAGGTGCGTGTTGTACAGTGTGTAGGTGCGTGTTGTACAGTGTGTAGGTGTGTGTGTTGTACAGTGTGTAGGTGCGTGTTGTACAGTGGGTAGGTGCGTGTGGTACAGTGTGTAGGTGCGTGTGGTACAGTGTGTAGGTGCGTGTTGTACAGTGTGTAGGTGCGTGTTGTACAGTGTGTAGGCGTGTGTGTGGTACAGTGTGTAGGTGTGCGTATTGTACAGTGTGTAGGTGCGTGTTGTACAGTGTGTAGGTGTGTGTGTTGTACAGTGTGTAGGTGCGTGTTGTACAGTGTGTAGGTGTGTGTTGTACGGTGTGTAGGTGCGTGTTGTACAGTGTGTAGGTGCGTGTTATACAGTGTGTAGGCGCGTGTTGTACAGTGTGTAGGTGCGTGTTGTACAGTGTGTAGGTGCGTGTTGTACAGTGCGTAGGTGCGTGTTGTACAGTGTGTAGGTGTGTGTGTGGTACAGTGTGTAGGTGCGTGTTGTACAGTGTGTAGGTGCGTGTTGTACAGTGTGTAGGTGTGTGTGTTGTACAGTGTGTAGGTGCGTGTTGTACAGTGTGTAGGTGTGTGTGTGGTACAGTGTGTAGGTGTGTGTGTGGTACAGTGTGTAGGTGTGTGTGTTGTACAGTGCGTAGATGCGGCAGACAGACGGGTCTCAGTTGGTTTGGTGTCCTATGCTTACTTTTAATACTTGTAAATAAAACTTTTGGCCCGTAATTTCAATTCCTCATTTCAGCGACCAGAGAGGGGGGTCCGCATCTGTAGCCTGTTATTGTCTCATTATACCGCACTGTAAATGAATTAAAAGTAAATATATAAGTCGTCATGAACACATCTGTCCATCAGACAGATTGCTGCTGTGCCTCCTGTCATCATTAATGGACGTCTCTTTAAAATGACCGCTCAGAGGAGAGGAGTTCTCATTTCTCTAACCGCCTGCTGCTTCCCCTCCTCTCTCCTCGGTTCCCCTCCTCGACTCCTCCGCTCGCATCTCCTGTGGGCGGGACTAAGACACGAGGATAGGAGTTGAGGAGGGGAGTCGAGGAGGGGTATTAGAGAAATGAGAAACCTTCATAGTGTCTCCTTTAGCTGCAGTTATAAATACCCTGTTGTTTTGGTCGTGAATTTGTTTTCACATCTCTGTTTTCGTTCAATATTTATATATTTGCTTTACTGTATTTTAAGTTAAAAGCCTTGTTTAACAACCAACAGTTTACTGGCACTTTTCCCCTTAGTGCTGTAAATGACCATGGTATGGTTGTCAAGGAAACAGCTCTGCAGTATACTATGTTTACACCTCTGTGATGTAGGTTTGTGAAGCCAGCTGCCGGATCACAACATTAACTCATGTATTCTTAAAACTGCACTTTATCTTATGTTATGACTTTTATATAAATGACTTTAATGTGAATCTCTCTTTGAAATATCTGAGGTCCAAAGGTACTTGCACTATTTTTATTTCATCTGTGATCGATTGGTGGGAAAGGACTTTGCTCAAACATGACGTTTATGGTACACTAATGAGTGGTTTGACCTCTTGTCTGGGGAGATAAAAATAACGCTGGCAACTCAGATGACCAACTATTTACCAACCTGCATGATCTCAGTTCTCTCTTATTTACACCCGGCAACTTCATGCTGCTTGGCTGAATCACAGAGAGTTGTTTGACACAAAAACAAGAACTGTTCCGTTGCATTATCACCACCCTGAGCTGTAGAAGGATCAAATCAGGGTTTCCACACTTTCTTAAACATCAAATTCAAGGACTTTTCCAGTACTTTCCATCCCTGATTCTCTCATATTCAAGCACCCATGGCTGTAAGGTTTGAGACGTATAGAGTTATTTTAACACATAAAGCAACACTTTATCTTATTTACAACTGGCAAGTTCCTGATTATTGGCCGAATCGGATTTATGTAAAAGTGCAAAATCAACCACAAAGTCTTTTGGTGCTTCTCGCCAGATGTTTTGAAAATGTAAATGCATTTCTCTCTTTATATAAAAGTTGTTAGCAAGCAAGCAAAACCTTGAGTGTCTTCTTGCAATGTTTTATAAATCCTTTTAAACCTCAAAATGAAGGACTTTTCCAGGTCTTTGCAGGCACGTCCTCTCATATTTCAAACCCCCAACGGCGTCAAGTTTGAGACATGGAGAGTTTTCTTGACACAAAAGCAACACTTCATCCTTTAACTTAGAACTAACATTATTATTTCTTAATTGAACAAGAACCATGCATACAATAACATTATCTCTTAAGAGAAGAGATGACTCATGCCAGATTTGAGCTAATAGCTTATTTCCATCTGCAGTCCTTTCACTGAAGAGAAAGGGGATAAAAAAACGTAATCTGAAAGTAAAAATAAATATGTGTCCCTTTGAGACATATTGAAGAAGTTTGAAGTCGCATAAAATGGAAATACTCAAGTACAAGTATCTCAAATATGTACCTAAATATAGCACTTGAGTAAATAGACTTACTTACATTCACTATCAATAATAATAATACGGAAAAAAAACTAACCAAAGAATGAGTTGATGCTGTGGCTCCATGATATTTTGCATGAAGACAGGATGAAACAAAGTAGATACAAAGTACAGCATGTGCGTCTTCGGGGTTATTTCAGATACAGATGGTAGAAGAGACAGCTTTAATCTCGCAGTAACATTGAGTTATGAATCACTTACATCCTCGTTGGTGGTCTGGTTGAGGGAGATCAGGTAGGTGTGGAAGCCGGTCAGTCCCACCACCGACCACAGGGTGAAGAAACACACCAACACCTCCAGCACCGTGGGGAACAGTTAAGAAAAAAGCAACAGATGTTTCCTGCCCGACACGCGGTCACTGATTAAACAGCGGACAGCAGATGACGGCAGACAATTATGCAACATGAATAATGACAGTTTTTTTTTTTAAAGGATCAAAGGCAGGAAGCTTTAACATTTTAAAAAGACAGAAATGGCCAGCTGGAATTTAGCTCTTATCCATATGCTATCTTTAGTCATGCTGGCTGGGGTTATTTAAAATACAATAAGAGCAGGGCAGAGTTAGTAATGTTAGCTTAAACTCTAATAGCAATAGGTTACTATTGAAGCTATTCACCAATAAATGGTCATGCTAAAAGATGGAGCTTATGTAGAAGTAGAATTTTTTTTTTGGAATCCACTGCTGTGTTTTTGGTTTTGAATAGGCCACGAAAAGACGTTAAAAAATCAAAGCTTGACAGGCCTGCAAAGCTATTATGTGATTCTCACTGATCAGGGGTAGGTTTAGGAAACAGTAATAGCCAGGGTGTGATATTTGAAAGAATCTGGATGTCTTTCCATTTCCTTTTCTAGGAAATCTGACAAACATAATCCACACAGCAGCTGTTTTTGTGGCCAGAGCCTAAAAGGATATGTTCCAGGTGTTTCCTTCAAAGTGTTCAAAAAGCCTTTATCCACTGAACCTGTGAACAGAGCAAAACAGAGGGAAGTTAGGAAAAAAAGCTTTCTAAAAATTCAACTGCTTCCCTACTAATTTGTCCTCTACTGAAGAGCACATTACTGCAGTATTAAGATAACAGGCTCAGAGATAATGATCCTGACTAGAAACACGGTTTCCTCATCTCTCTGTCGCCTCGCTGCCTTGTTGGGTAGAACAAGGAAGCAGGAGGCAGGTGATGAAAGAGGAATCATGTCAGGTTGTCGCTTGCTGTTACGTGTCATGTCTCGCTGCAGGAAAAGCTGGTCTGAACGAGGTCATAGTTGCTGCTCATGTACATGAGTCTGCAAAAACTCTGGAAGCCGCCAATGAGTTTGTGTCAAAGGTTGTTCTTCCTGTTTTACCACAATCTTTCTATTCATACTCTAATCTCCTAGACGTTTGTTCCTTCTTATTGCACAAACGACTGACAGGATACTCACGCATCACCACGTGGACGATGTCGAAGGTGAAGATGTAAATGGTGAGCAGGGAGAGCGACAGGGTGAACATGTAGAAGTATCGGTAGTTCCTCTTGCCCACACAGTTGCCTACCCATGGACAGTGGTGATCAAAACGGTCTGTAAAAAAAGAAAAAAGGGTGTCTGTTTGAATAGGGAAATTGTACAGGAGCTGCAAAAACAACTTAGAAAACAGATACTTTTGGAAATCAATCGAGTGTTAAAAATACACCGGTATTTCAGTCAAAGAAAGCTTTGAGCAGCAGCTTCTGTAAACCTGCAGTCTAAATATAAGGATCACTTCCTCTTGGCCTCTCCTCTTCTCTTATTTGGAGGAGAGCCAGATGAAAGCAGGACAGGGTCAAACGGACGCAAGGATGGAGTTTCACAACAATATACAGTAAATATAGAGGCAGGAACACAAGACTTGGAGCAACTCGTAGATTCAAAAATAAAAGGATACTTTATATATTTAGAGAGAAGACGTTCCGTGCTGTCCTTCTGTGTTTACATAAATATTTGGTGAACATGACATGTTCAACTTAAATTTGATGCTAAAGTGACTTTTAATAGGGAGAATTGTGTCTCTTTCAGTCTCTGCACCCCGAACTTCTGTTCTTCTTATACAATGTTACTTTTCGTAAATTGCTCGTATAATCTCCAGGGAGAAGTACATAAGATATTACCGCAATAAAAGTAGTATTTTTCCCTCTTATGTCCTCCCATTGGTGATTTACAGATCTTACTGATGGACAGCAAGCATCACCTAATTGCTAACGGTCGCTAACATTAACTGACCTTATCTAGTTAGCCTTTAGCTCAGTTTTTCTACTCATTACATAACTAATGTAATCATAACAAATGAATGTGAACCATTACAGCTGTCTCATCTACGGCAGCAGTGCATAAGGGAAATGCATCACATTTATCTTAAAGCACGTTAATAATGAAATATATTGTATTTTGTCCACTTAAGAGAGAACAAAAATGTGAAGTGTGCTGCAATCCAGAGGTCTGGAGCCGGGCGAGCACTTCACCCCCAGAGATATTGTTTTATTCCTGCATACAGATATAAAACTACTGCCTAAATACTGAGAGACTACAGTATATTGTGCATCAGACATCTCATAATATATTAACTACAGAAGGCTCCGGGTATAAACAAATGTAATTAGTGAAGCAGTTTGTTGTTTTTTTATTATGCTGCATGTTTTGTTTGGGACTTTACCCGCAATAAACAATGTGAGGTTGAGGAGGGAGAGATAGGAGTGCAGAGGGACTGAGGCATGCTGCTGTGTCATGCTTGGACTGTGTGTGTGTGTGTGTGTGTGTGTGTGTGTGTGTGTGTGTGTGTGTGTGTGTGTGTGTGTGTGTGTGTGTGTGTGTGTGTGTGTGTGTGTGTGTGTGTGTGTGTGTGTGTGTGTGTGTGTGTGTGTGTGTGTGTGTGTGTGTGTGTGTGTGTGTGTGTGTGTGTGTGTGTACAGCAGGTGGACACAGATGAACCAGTGTTCACAATGACTGTGCGCTTATTCCCTCACTGAGCCTCCACTGTCTCCTCTTATATCGACTTGGAGTCTACGCTGCCTTTAGACGCATTCCTCACTCATCAGCAGCCAAATCACTTTTATTCTGCCGAGTTGAGAGATGAGACAGCTGCACACACACACACACACACACACACACACACACACACACACACACACACACACACACACACACACACACACACACACACACACACACACACACACACACACACACACACACACACACACACACACACACACACACACACACACACACACACACAACACACACACACACACACACACACACACACACACACACACACACACACACACACACACACACACACACACACACACACACACACACACACACACACACACACACACACACACACACACCAAAATTCAAAGCGCATTCCATAAAAAAAACCACTTTGATCCAGCTTTCTAAAACTTTTGTTTAGTCCAAAAATGTATTTATAAAGCTATGATTTCAAACCTTTTCATTATTGTGACAAACGTATGCAGAGAGGTAATTAAGAGTAGGGCTTCAGAGATAATCCTCACATCACGAAGCTATTTTTCCCCACAGGAACTCACCTTTCTATTTCCGAAAAACTGAAATAAACCGATTTCAATGAGCTGTCTTCTCACTTTGTTCAGCCTTTGACAGCGGATCAGAGGACGTTTCTTTCTTACCGACGCAGTTGTCACAGATGCTGCAGTGAGAAGCCCGAGGAGGTCTGAAGATCTTGCAGGTGTAGCAGTACTTGAGCTTCACGATCTGGTTGTTGATCTGAACGTTGCGGATTCGAGGGGGGGGGTCGCTGCCCCGCGGGGACGTTCCCATTAGCAGCCTCTGCGGATACAAAGAAGAAAAAACATTCATAAGCAGGTGTTGGCAATCTTGATCACACAATGAGCTGGAATGGCATTTGACGAGCAAAGACCTCCTCCACCAAGGCCAATGGTGCATTCAAATGCTCCACGCTTCAGGTGGTCCCATTTCCTAATGTGGGAAGTCGGGCTTTATCTGTTTTATTTGTTCTATGTACTATATATATTCATGTTGCACTGTTGGAAGAGCCTGTGACCTAAGTTTTTCATTGCCATATCTACACTGTAGCTAGTGTGCAAATGACAATAAAGCCTTGAATCTTATGTGTTCATCAGCCTTACGTTTAATGTAAAGCAACATGGACGTGGAAACAACAAGAACATGTGTTGCTTTTTATTGCTCAGAGCGTTTAAACAACACTTATATATTTTCCCAGTTCTTTTTCCGACTCAAGGGGGAGTTTAACTACGTTTTCTGAGTCGGGAACTCACTTTTTTATGATCATTCAGAGCCAAAATGTGTGCAACCAGCACCACTTTCTTATCTACCAATGTGACCTAAAGTCAAACATAATTTGTATATACTATAAATAGGTTCTTCATTGGTCAATGCCTCACCCCAAGACAAGTGTTTATGAAAATAGGGCCAGTAGTTTTTCCATAATCATCTACACTGCTATTAAAAGGTTTTATCTCATGGTTATCTGCTACATACAACAACACTACAAACTATGTCCTCAAAAGTCACAACTAAAATCTCTGAGAATATTTTCACATTAAATGAATAGGTCTTAAACAGGCAGTGAGAAATGTGAGATTCAGTGACAGGGACAAGAAAAATAAGGGATGTAAATCTCGACAGCTGAACCTTGAGGGACAACAGGATTGGCTCGATACAGTATTGATGATGCTGGATTTCTATGTAATCACTGCTGAGCTGTAAATATTATGTATTATTATCAACACTGTGACGCAGTGTCCGGCTCTGTTTGGGCTTCAGCTAACCTTCCTAACACTGACATATCTTGAGGTGAGTAATTTAGATCTTTCTGATTCAGTAGCACTGCAGGAGCTGAGTGCAGAGAGCTAATGACCAGACGGCTGACACCTCTCAGGAGAAATCCTCCATTACCACGCTGCATAGAGAAGCTGTGAATGTGCCGTTAATGGAAAAGAGCATTACGGAGAGCTCATTTGACTTTGTGGGGGTAAATTAAGAAAAGGAATGTGGCATTTGTGGAAATACATTATCAGGAATAAGAAAACGTGTTCAGAGATTAACATAAACTAAAGTGTTTGTTTATCATTTGTATATATTACTGAATCCAAAAATCTGTATTGTAAATTTTTTTTAGTTTGTATGCAAAGCTTCTATAATACATCTAGAGACATAAAGATGGTGAAAATGACTTGATCTGACGGCACAAACTGCTCAGCATCATGAATCTACTGAATGTGGGATTAGTGGCTTTCAGGATAAACCAGCGGAGAATAAACAAATGACTCATCACTCACGGGGGGATGATGCCACTCCCTCGGGTAGCAAAACTCAGTCTGGTAGTGGTATTATATATTCCAAGAGGATGCTTCTCATCCTATTAGCAACTCCCCCCCCGAGGGACTTGTGTCTAACAGGCTTCTTCCATACCTGCCTTCACTACTGGCACGCCCACACACATCACAGCAAACAGATACCATAACACAGTGGAAAATACCCTCCATAGGAGCTGCAATTGAATCTGTGCACATTCTGGATATTAGGTGATGAAGAACCGGCTATTTTGGGAGATTTGCTGAGATGTGTTTGGTGGAATGTAATAATTAGGTGCCTTTACCTGAATATCATTTCATTTGACCGCTTCCCTGATTTAATATATATTTGGGTTTACTGGTGATTTAACAACAAAGTATATTTGTTGTTAAATCGCTCTGGGAACTTGTGATTATGATTTATATTTAAAAGACACAATTATTGGTGGAAGAAATAATTTAGAACTTGAGCAATGTATGTTCATCCAACGTTTTGATGATGATGATGATATCTTACAAATGATATTGTTCTTTTCAATGTGTTTTCCTCACAAATATCACACAAGCATTCGTGTTCCTGTTGTACAGAAACACGTTAGGCAACAATGTGTGTAGCTTTAGGAAAAGATTGCGGTTTGTAAAAGCGTCATTAAAGTACGCAACCTAGGTAACAAAATAGGTTAAAAAATATGTCATCTTTGACTTGGTTTCACTCGGGACTTGACCAGAGGCCTGTACTACGAAGCTGGATTTTCGCTTAGCCGGCTAAATTCAGGGAAATCTCGGGATTTCCGGTCCTACGACGCTGGTTCTCTTTTTAGCAGGCTAGATTTCCATGGTAACTTATGCTGAGCGGCAAACCTGCTCCGGAGCAGGTTAGGTGGCAGGCTAAGAGATCAACTCAGTGAAAGCACCGCCTGCTGACAAATCAGAGCTCCGTGTGCGGAGTTTAAAGCGATCAATTCATATTACAGGATAGAGGAAATACAGAAAAACTGCCGTTCGTGAAAATTAATAGAATATCCCCTCCCATCTTCAGAGCAATCTGACTATTATAATATTAGCGTTAAGAAAGCTTACTTAAATATCTGCCACGACATAAGTAACCGGATCAGAGTAACATTAAGTACAGTCCGCGGCACTGTGAGTGCAGACGTCGATGTGTCTCATTATCATTCATATCATATCACATGATATCACATCATAATGTATCATATATTTCCTTATCTGAGTCAGCTTCTTGAGCCGTATCTGGCCGTGCAACACTCACAGTGTCACATACTGTATGCAGAAGTATTATTTTAAGCAACACATTAAGTTGACGAAACACTCGAGTCAAATGTAATTAAAGTCAGATCGTGTCTTAGACGGGGCAGTGATTTCATAAACCTGTTAATGTACGCATTCAAACACTTTTTCTTTTACCAGCTGTATTCACCTTGCAGGTGCAGCTATGTGGCTTTTATCCTGGATAAAGTGTTTAAGTCATGGATGTTTAAAGTTTAACTTCTTCATATTTGACTAATATTAAAGTTCACTTTTCATTCAGGAAGTATGACGCTGCGCTGTCAGTACACTTGTCCGTGTTTGAGATTGGTCGAATGCTCCAAATACCACCCCTTTTATGTGAACGCGCACCTAACTAGATAGGACACGGCTGGCTTGAGCGATCCACTTGATAACCAGCGTCGTAGTACAGTTTAGCCAGAGCGCGTATGTTTTGGATTGGGCCAACCGGCTAAGGCACACATCAAACATATCCAGGTTAGGTTGAACCAGCTTCGTAGTACAGGCCTCAGGTCTCCGTGATTAAAGCCCTGTGCTTTTTGACCCATCCATCCAGCCCAAAACAACCATAAGTTCACAATAATAATAATAATTCCTAGTGAGATTTCCTTATATGGCTGCATGCAGGAGTTGCACAGGTCATCACGGCCGCAGCTATGACCAGCGAGTCATTGTCATGCTGCGAGTGGTATGAGTCACAGCCATGATGAGGAGTGCTGCCAGATGAATATCCTCAGAGGACCGCCTGCCTCCGCCCTGCTTTTACACCCCCTCCTCTGTCATGAGCCAGCCTTCACCCATGCCTCTCCACCGGAGTGAGAGCACGAGTGATGGCTGAAGGACACAGTGAATCTTTAACAGAGACGACGAGTGAACATTGACCAGCCACACAGGCAGAAGGGGGGGGGGGAAGAATAAAATCTCATTCCTCCAAATAGGAAGAGAGTATGGCCAACCCAGGGAGAAAATATGCACTGCGTTTAATTAGTTGTTTGTGTTTTTGTTTGCAAAGGCTTTGTTGTCAATTTGATGCAGCGTATCGTTTGTGTCATGAAACAACAGGATCCTTTGTAATGAATGTGTGTTAGACTCAGCTCTACATCCACGGGGAGCACGGCCAACCTTCCGCAACATAAAGAATAACAAACATGAATAAACCAACAGGACTGAGGCTGTCTGCTCACTGCTTAACTAGCATATACACTGAAGTATTTATGCCCCCAAAATACTTTCACTTGAGCTACCTCCAACATCATTTAGACTAACAACGAGATGATGTAACAGCAGCATGGACTCTAATACCTTAACATTTTGAATGGATGTAGATAAAGGATTTGTGCCATGTGGCTTTATCAGCACTGATTGTGAATAACAGCCACTCAAGGTGAGGAGCAATCACAGAGGTGAGAACACACGCTACTTCAAACCTGGCAGCAATCTGTAGAGGATCTGAGCTGAAGGTGCATGAAGAAAGATGATACTGGGCTGTTCTTCTATTATCATTATAAGTTGCAGATATTTCATTGCAAACATTAGCATATACAATTGTTGTGTGCTAAAATGCATTCTTCAGATTAGCAGAGACATTTTTACATTTCTTATTCTGGCAAAAGTAAAATAAATATTTCATGTAAAACTAATGGAATCACTCAGTTCACCAGCGAGTCCTCACTGTGTCTGCTGTTGATGTTGGGCAGGTAGTGTACAGCGAGTGTTTACTAAAAACAACTGCCTGCTCAAATGACAACACTATTAGAGTGACCCAAAACAGTGATGTTGCAGCCAGACAGACAAACAATGAGCTGACACGTTATGCGGCAGATTCAGCTGACCCATTTCACACTGACTTCATATTACATTTTAGTCATAAAATATTGATTATAGCAACTTCAAATACATTTTCATCAAAGTACTGACACTATCACAACTCACACTTGATTATGTGAGTCTGCCACACAGGAGGACTTGTTCAGAGGATGTTTTGAGGATTCAAATCTGATCAAATCACACCAACACATTTATATCATGCTTATGAAGTCATGAGTGTTCAATATTATAGAGAAAGATTGGAAGCCAAGTTTCGAGCAGAGTATTGGGGAGACAAGTGTTTTCTAGATTTGAGAGAATACATGTAACTGTCTTTAAACTCACCAATCTCCATCTCAATGAATGTGGCTTCCTCTGGCAGAGCTCGTGGCAGCACCCCGGGGTCGCTGAAGCTCGTCCTCAGCAACATGGCGATGACGAAGAAGAAGAGCACGATGGCGAAAACTGGGACGGAAGGAGACAGATGGACGGCCAGGTACGGACATCTGTGGGAAAACAACGAGGGTGAAGAGCCGGTCAAAAAGCAGGTACGGTTTCTCAGAAAGGTTAAGAGGGGAGGGGAGTATTTTATATAGCATACTATTAGAACAATGTATGTTTTTGATACCTCATTATTTGACCTTTTTGACTGTTGGTTGAACATTTTGTACCTTGGATTTGGGAATGTGATGGACATCAGTTGCTTCCCGCGGGCAGTGAGACTGTTAAACAATTGAACTGCTGAAACAACTTCAAAACATTCATCTGCTACTCAGTAATATGTATCTAATATCTAATATATATCATTCCAATAACTTGTATATAGACTCGTACTGCACTATTCCACATGCTCACTTTATTTTATAACTATTTTTCTTTTTGTATTGCTCTTGCTATCTGTATTGTTATTATGTTGCATTGTTGGAGAAGCCTGTGACATAAGATTTTCAACAACATAATTACTCTGTAGCTATGTCAGTTTGACAATAAAGAACCTTGAACCTTGGACATTTCTCCAACATTTGATAGACAAAAGAAAATAGTTGCCAGAAGAATGTAATTGTTAGTTGTGTAATTTCACACAAAATGATTATTCTTTGAAATGCCATGTGTTTGCATCACATGAATACAGCAGATAAGAGAAGCTGTGGAGTTCATTATGAAAGCGGCCTGTGCAGAGAGGGCATGACACGACAACACACACATTCTGAACTGGTGTTGTGAGCACAAGGTCATGAACCACGAGAGCTGCCCTTTCTCCGGACCGCCCCGAAGTCATGGCCGTGAATAAACAACACCGTGTCACACCTTCTGGAGAAACATTAGCATAACACCGGCCACTGAGACCCCAGCCAGCGGAGCTCCTGTTGCTCAGGGCGATAACAGATGAGCTGCAGAGGCTGCGGTATGGGCATGAAGTTATTAATAGTTAAACTGTGCGGCCTCATCTCCCTGCCAGGTGGACGGGATCATATATTCATAATGCAACACTAATGCTGCTCTACAGGAGAGAAAGGTATTGTGCTACATCCTGTACAAGACTGACTTTTGTTCTGCACGTCATGCATGACACAGACTGCACACAGATGACACACCCTCTGCTTTATTACAGTATATAGACGATGCAAAGGAGGACCATATCAACTCTGCAATATTTGTAAAACTCTCCTCTGAAGAGTCATCAGGCTATATTACATTTACATGTTATTACCTTTTTCTTGAATTAAACATTATTCAGTACGAGTTCAGCAAAACGATTGTTCTAAAGCTGATGACAAAACATAAATCTAAAGTTTTTTGTAAAATAGATTGATTGTTCAAGTTATTTTTCAAGCAGAAATCCAATAAATCCTATGCTTTAATTATTCTTAAATGGTAATAAACTGACCATAATTGGGTACTGCCCTCAAGAGATATTACCTTGGCCATTAATAACTTTTTAACTGAAATGTTACAAACACAATGATCAATTGTTTAAAAACTAATCAGCAGATTAATAGATAAAGAAAGATGGGTTAGAAGCAGCCTCAGGTATAAGTAGTCCGGTTTTTTAAAGGGTTTTTGGGGTGCACAAGGTTCATTTGTGTGGAACATAATATCCAATATTGACAGCAGCCATTTATCCGTATCACATATCAGCCAAACCACGACACAGTTACATAAATGAGGATGAGATATCAATAACTCTCAGGGGGAGAGAACAGCTTGAAAGCAGCACTAATGCATACATATGGTTTCATTTCTCAGTGATTGTTTAGTTTTGATTTGTTTGATCAGACTGAGCAATCTTATATTTGGATACAAATGTGCTGAAATACAGAGCCAATAAACCAAAATGTGTATCTGTCAAAATACATATGGACTGCACTGTAGCTGTACATCATCAGACATCCCATAATAAGTTATTTCATCGAATGAACAGCTATATTTGATCAATAATAAAGCAGTCAAGTTGGTTTCAGCCTCTGTAAAGTGTAGATCTGCTACCTACTCTGTTTTAATTCATTTTAAAGTAATTTGAGTTTCAGACCCTGACAAAAGGTCTATTTAATCACTTCCAGTGCCATCTGTTATTGTTTTGTCCAGGTTGCATTTCGTTCATTTTAACTGCACATATACAGCGTTAAGGGGAAGGATGTAACTAAGTCAACAACTGCCTCAGCTCAACATGGCAGAGAACAAAGTCCACCTGCCTAGCTGCACCTGCTCGTGTAGCTACACCATGCAGGTACATCAGCATACCTGTGCACTTGTGAAACAACACACACAAAAACACAACACCAGCTGAACAGGTCAGAGCAGTTTCCCTGCAGTATCCTTTCTCACACAAATGGAAACTAGGAGCAGCGATTAAATCAATACAGGTTTCCACTGGACCGGCCTGTGAAGTATGTTAGGCCCATTTGAGAGAGCATAGAGCAGCCGGAGGATTCAGACGGAGGAGAGGCAGCCTGCGGGTGAAGTGTAATTCCCGTAATGATGACTGGTAGGTATCGGAGGCACACTCAATCATCGGCTTCCCATCATGCCCCTCCACGTCCTTCCTGGATGTGACCGTTTCCTCTGCTGTGGAGGAGCAGTTGTGTGTGCTGTGTATTCATCAGTCACCACAGAGCAGCAGAAAAAAACTGGACTTAATCGAGCCCATGTGGGGAAAATATTTTCATCAGTGAGGCGATCAATCAGACCACCAAGTGACACTCATGCCACTTACACATTACCTCTCTCTCTGTCTCTCCTTTGAGGCTAACAATAAACTAGCTCCTGTGGTGGAATGCAACTGAGTGCATTATTACCCCAGCCAGCAACACTATGAAAATGCTACTTATGTGTTAAAGGGTTTGTTGGTTGTTTTGAAGCGGGGTTGTATATGATCCATAATGAATGTACTGTATGACCTACAGTACATGTCAAGTGGCACACTCCTAATTATGGGAAACAGACAGGAGTTGGACCACAGGAGCTAAGAAATGTACTTTTGTGGACAGGCGCAGCAGCAAAACACATTTTACCTCTTAAAAAAAAGGCCCACCTATAAATAAAAATTGAAGTGAGTTGGAGTTTTCACTTTATTTGGATATTTTTACCGCATGTCCTTGCTGTCAGATTGCCCTTCCCGACAGAAGCTTTTTTCTATGCTTCGACTCTTCAAAGTCACCAGATTTACCTCGCAGAACACAGAGGTTGCTGGACTATAGCTGCCTTAATCATTTAGTTAGTTTTCTGTTATTGTGTTAGGCTGTTGAATATAAAGCAACCCTTCAAAACACAAAAGTTACAAATGAACCAAAACATAGTTACAGATCGAGGGCAGAGGTAGACCAGCACCTCTGATGTTCTGCAGGGTAACATTACTGTGCTTGTCAAAGGAGTCTTGGAGCTTTGACAAGAGCAACCATCAACACCGAGCAACCTTCCCTGAAACACCAAGTGGGACCAACGTTGCATTTTGGGTAATGCAGGCGCCAGGTTTTACAAAGGAAGGAGAAAGTGTAAAACCAAAAAAAAGGTTTTTAGGGACGATATGAATTCCAAACTGCAACACAGAGATATATTTTCATTTCACTAAAGTGTTTCTTCCATATGACAAAACATTTTGTTTAATCAATGGTCCGTACAAATGTTATAAAATCATTAAGAGGCTATTCCAATATAGAAAATATTGTTTTCATGGCTTAATAAATTGAACCATTAGCTTAAAACCTGCAATCAGCTACCAGTCATGAGAGAAAATAATCACATACACATATGAAAGATACACAGAGTTACACAAGAGATAGTGATAGGTTACATACTGTACAGTACTGCTGATTCTGCAACCAAAGTGTGAAGTTCACGTGTGTGTGTGTGTGTGTGTGTGTGTGTGTGTGTGTGTGTGTGTGTGTGTGTGTGTGTGTGTGTGTGTGTGTGTGTGTGTGTGTGTGTGTGTGTGTGTGTGTGTGTGTGTGTGTGTGATGCATTAAGGAGAGTCTACTGCAGACTTTGATCTAAAGGATTTCCCCTCTTAACTCAGGATGACATGGGTTTAACGATGAGAAGCTTCTTAGTAGGGATATTGCTGAGTTTAAATCACTTTAACTTTTCAGCAATAAATCCACTAAACCCATGATGATGACTTCACCACTTCATGCCTCGGTGACTCATGACATTTTACCTTTGTTGAACATTTCACAGCTTTACATTATAAATACTTAGCAGTTGTAAGCTGTTGGGGATCATTATGAATCATACAAGAGATGAATTATGCACAGTGGGCCTCAGTAACCCCGTCATACAAACATCTGTGGACTGTGACTCTGCCTGTTTCAAAAATAACAAAAGCACAAACTTGCCCTCTCCCTTTTTTCCACAAACAGACATAAAACCTACTTCATTACCCAACTTGGTAAATATTCTGAGTAGAGGAGGGGGTTTCATAATTCCTTTCGTAAGACATCTCAGAGGTCTTTTGCTTTTTTCTGAAGATGTAATCATGCTTCTACAGTTTGAACCTCTCATGCATTACCATTACATTAAACAGTTACCAACGTAACACTACTCTACTGAAAGTGTTTCGAGAATGAAGATTATAACGTTTTATAACCATTTCAATAAACAAATATTCATCCTGCTCCACTAATTTAAAAAATGTCCTTTTTTTTAAATTATATTTTCCTTTTGTTTTGCAAACACAGGACAGATATGTCATAGGCTACCTGTATTATGTAAAGTACAATTCAGTCATATGAGAAACAGGTTAGAAATCTATCAAAATGGTTTGAAAAGCCTTGAAGGAATCAAGAAAAACCTTGAAAGCAGCAGTTAATGTTACAATGTGAACCTTCAAGGTTTTAAAAAGATTGCAAAGTATTCTTTTCTTTTCATAACATTCCATGCTTAGCGCTGTGACTCAGATGTAATGTTAATAAATACGGAAAATCCAGAAACATGTCCTTTAAAACCTGATCCAATAAATGAATGCGTTAAAAAGAGGCTACACTTGAGATGAAGAGGACACCATCTGTTGTCCAGTTTAAATCAGTCATCCTTGTTATGCAATCCTTAAATACCATATGAGAGAGATGAAACATGAGAGCCACGGTCATAGTCCTTTTACCAGGATTAAAGCTAGGATTACAGATGTTGCGTCATAGAATACTGACTAAGAGAAATGAAGAATGATGAGAAATATGATGATTTAATGTTGGCCACATGAAAAAACAATACTACTGAACAACATTAAATATTTAGTCATTTCTAAAGGAAAAATCATCTAAGAGAGCATCTAATTCAAGCCGAACACGTCACAAAACAACGTCAGGAAAAGTGTAAAGTGTGCCTCCCTGTATGGCACAGGTTGTGGGCGAGAATAGCAGCAAAGAGAAGCATCCAGAGAACAAAGCCTGTAGATCACTGTTACAGTAAATGGTGCACGCACTCTGAATAGAGCATAAATCATGTTATTGCTCATTCAGTCAGGGCTGGCGGGTGCTTTCTGATTGGCTAACAGGGGGACAGGGTGGGGTTGGATGCTGAGGGAGGCTCGGTTACAAGATCTCCTCCGACTGCAGCCGCCCGCCCTGCACTACTCAATATGTGTTCACATTTTATAAGGCTGATAGGGCATACGTAAGGATGTAGAGTACAACACAAACACACACACACACAGTCACACACACCAAGGATCACTCTCATTACATGCACATATGCTTCTCTGGCCTCGTAGCTGAGCGTCCTGCAGTGGACAGACAGATGACACACTCTCCTTGTGTTCCAGTTTCTTTTTCCTTCATCCAAGCTCCATAGGTGGCAACGCACATTCACATATGCCTGCATGCACGCACTACATTTACACCAACATACAAATGGGAACTGAACCAGTGAGTATCCAACAGCGAGGAAGCGTTAGTTACCAAAGCACCTTATACAGCATCCAGGTATAATATAAATATGTAAAATCCCATTTCAAAATCAGATCAGTGGGTATTATAAGGGCAGAAACCAACAGCGTGAGGACACACAGCCCTAAAATTGATTCCAGGGGAAAACAGGCTGGGCCCATCTCTTCCCTGAGTAATTTGTTTAGTTGTTCCTAATGGCTTTTTCCATTTGTGTATTCGGGCTGCTCGTTTCCGCAATTTAGCACAAATTAAAGCAGAGAGAAGTCTCCCTGCACGGGGAGCTGATGCCTGGTGATAAAAGTGAGACGTCTGTGTGGATGGTGTTGGATGTGAGCCAGCCAACGCCAAGACACTGCCCTCTCTGTTTACCCATCATGCCCCGCTGCAGCTCACAGATGCACCTCAGGCATGTCAGGAACGAACTCTCCAAAACAAGGAAACGACGCCACAAAGACAGAAGATGTGATGATTAAAGAAGGCTGAACCACAGCTCAATGCACCAACAAGCAAACATTTAAAATCAGATTATAAGGATGCATTGTTGGGCATATTTTGTTTTTAATCAATGCCAAGCCTTTTACATATTGAGTTTTTGATAAATGATGGCCACTGAATGATGTTTTGGAATGGACAATATTATAAATCATATTAGCTGGAGCTGTTAGGAGTACATCTATTGATTGGCTACTATTTTTGAAAATGTATTTATTTCACTCATATTCAGCGCAAGATGAGGGAAACAATCTGCTGAGTTGTTTGCTGGCAAAACAACCATCTAATAATGCTAAGAGTCTATAGTCAAACTGCGGCATGCTAACCCCATAATTACAACTAAACACAAAGTATAGCTGAGCTGATTGAAATGTCATTAGATTCGCAGGTAATTAGCAATAAACCAGAGTAGTTAACAATAACTAAATAAATACATTTTGACCCGATAGTGGCGCTATATGAAAATCAGGGCATCACCAAAATGATTACAATGAAGGGGGCATGAATGTATGTACTAAAATGCAATGGCGATCCATGTAATGGTTTTCAATATATTAGTTTTTGAAAATGCCAAACTTCTATGACTTCTTCTTTTCAAATGTTATGAAGTGCTGAATGTCTTACATGATGTTAAACTGAACGCTTCTGGGTTTGAAACTTTTGCTCGGATAAAAAAAGCAATTTGTAAACACAAACCAGGAAATATAGAATGGGTCTTTGTTCACCATTTTTTTTAAATGACTACAAAATAATTCAAAATCTAGTGAATATAAAAATGTTCTGCAGATAAATCATCAGTGGGTATTCCACTCTCAATATTCATTCCAAGAAAGAGTGCAATTAGAGGTTTTAATCCTTCTATTAAGCACAGATGCAAGTTTGCAGTTTGTGAATGCATTAAAGCTCTTTTTGCAGAAGGCTATTCCTCCGTCAGAGGGTTAAATCAGATAAGCATCAACATGCCGTGTAATGGCCAGTTGGAAATTACCCCCATGTCGTCTGGGTGCAATCTCTGCGTTAATATCCATGCGCCTACGAGAGATAATTATGTTCAACTGTAATATGAACATAGCATGCTGACAACCCTCCAGCCATTAGTCACCACAATGCCTCCTCTGGGCTCTGGACCTTCGGTGTGAGAAGTATCATCTCTCTGCCTCTCCTTTTGCTCCGGACAACAGCTGCTTCTGTCCGGACTCAGAAGAAAAGCAGGAGGCCATTAAAGTGCAGAGCAGATAAAGATGGGAAGGGCCTGGCACTATGTGAGCTACCTCTCTTCTCTGCTATACTTTAAATCCATTTGGCCTGCATGTAAACACCCTCAATCAGTACAGAAGAGCACGATTGTGAGCTAAATCATTCCGTCTATTTGTTGAAAACTGGCAAGATAAGAGAGAAGAAAGAGGAAACAAGTGGTACATACACAGAAAGTGCAATCTAAATGAGAAGCAGCGCTGCTTTATGATCATCATTTAAATTCATGTTCGTCCTGTTAAAAACAATCCTCTGCGCAGCCTGACAGGATTTGAGCTCTCATGCTGCGTACGAGCCTGTGTTCGCTGAACTAATGAGTCCACTGGGTTTGTGCGAGTAGTGGTTTGAGACAGAACTGCTGAGACAACAAAAAAGCAGCTTGAGCAGAAGCTGGGCAGCTACTGGCTATTAAATATTTAACACCTCAGTATGTGGTCAATCATAAACCTCTTTCCTGTCCCAGACTGAGAAACCAAACATGGATCCACAGAGTCACTGTGATCTTTCAGCAGAAGAAAACAACAATCCAAGATGCCCATCAGCTCACATTTTCGTATAGCTTACTAATGTCCAATTCTCATTTGAAACTATTGACTATCAAATATGTATGACAGTAATTGTTGAGATGAGACTTCAAGTTTGAGTTGAAACAAAAACATCTAATATCTTGTGGTTTAAGCTAAAAGAAATTGAGGATTTTACATTTTCCTTCGTCGTAATGATAGTAACCTAAAGAAATGTGCTAGCTGGTTGGATAAAACAGACCATTTCCATTAATCCAATTAAGTTTAACAATATGTTATTTCACTACTTTCTGATATTTCATTGGCAAAACTGCATAAATGGAGAAAATATTTGAATAACATCTGACCAAATCCCCTGTTGACTTCTTCAGATGTCTTATTCTGTTTAAAACAAAAATGTGAAGAGCTGGGCACTCATAAAAACTGACTGGAATTGATGAATCCATAAAGCTTCCATGTTATCTTCTGTCTATCATCTTGTCGAACATTGGATATTTAACAAACACTCCTTCTTCATCATATTCACAATGAATTAGATATTTGTTTGGTTTCTATATGCTGAGTGCTTAAAGATGTGTTTCTGTGAATTTCCCTGCGGAGATCAATAAAGGTTCATCTTAAAATTGTTAGTGAGAGACTATGTTATGATGTTGCATGTAAAATTGTAATTGTAATGTCTGTTGGTTGTTCTATGTGTAGCTGCCAGGGACTGCAGATGAAAATAAGCTAATAGCTCAATCTAACATAAATCATGTGTTTGTTATGCATGGTCCTTGTTAAAAAGGGACTAATAATTCATTTTTGCACTGATTGTTGAAGCTCTCAAGTTGGATAATGTTGGAAATGGCAATACTGTCAGCTAGCTTAATACAGAAATGTTGGGAATGTGTGTATTTGTGAAGAACCACAAGAGCCTTAAAATGAATTGTGAACCCTCTCAGGAGCAAATCATCAACGAGTGATTTCATTATGGAGTCAGAGGCAGGAAATGAACTCACTCAAAGGCGAAGAAGAGGGAGCAGGTCCCGACAATGAGGAAGAGGGTCAGGTAGAAGACTCCCTTCTGCCGGGCCATCATCACCCTGCCGTCGCAGCAGAAAGTGTTTTTCCCCGGCAGCTTCTCCCATTTTCGCACCTTACGTGTGATCATCACCGCCGACATGGTGCCCTCTCTTCAGATCTCAGTCCTTCTTTAGGTTGATGCCAGCTGTTATACTGTAAAACGATTCAGATAATAACCTGATAGCTCTTACAAATATTACCCAGTCAATGTGACACAGTCCACTGAGGAAGAAATACCCGAAACGACTCAATGTGTAATATTAAAGATGTCAGCACAAGGTGATGATTGTAAAGCATCTTCTTTTCGTAGTTCGCAGTCACATCATCGTTGTGTTTTCATGTCCATTTGTATTTCCAGTCTTTACTGCAGCATGTCATTCCCACACTGAGGCTCCCACGCTGCACCGACAATCTCGATCCTCTCACAGGACAATATTAATTAAAAAATAATATATTAATTAGAAATTAATCCAAATGCTGGCGGCAGATGTTTCCCACAAGGAGCAAGACAATCCAGCTGGGGCTGTTGCATCGGGATCTTGACCGAGTGACATTCATATCATCTCGATAAATCATAAAAGGCGTTCTCAGACATTACACTTTGACCATGCGGCTGGACGTGGACAATATGCCTTCTTGTGTTAAAAAATAAATTAAAATCCTTCAGAATTAGGAGACAGCAGTCAGTATGGAGGAAACATGTAAAGCTGTTCTTTTTTCCTCCTGCAGGATGCCAGCCCTCGGTTTGAGTCAATGGCAGCAGCAGGAAACACGCCTAGATTGAAATGTCTTATCTTAAAGGGGCAGGACAGGTAAAGCAAAGCGAACAAAGGACGAGGATGAAGGTCCTATTTGGATCACATGAATATGCTGAATTGCTCGCCTGTGGTATTACCCAAGGGGGAGACTGTGAAGGAGTGTATTTAATGAAGGTAATTGGTTTTAGACACCAGATGCATTAATCCCCAAAGTGTTGCTCTATATGTAGTTTAAAGCAGAGCAGAGGTAAACAGTGCAGAGGTCCACAGAATAAATACACCTTTCACTTATAGATTAGGTATGTTTTCTAATAATAATACATGTTATTTATAGAGCACTTTTCAGGATAGTCAAATACACTTTACATGTTAAAATACATTCAAACAACATTAGAAAAACACACTTAAAATATATAAAACACAACAATAATTACAGATGAAAAGCAGTTCTGAAAAGGTGAGTTTTGATTTCAGATAGGTTAGTTATTCCACCTCCATTGATACATAGAAAACATGTCCTAATAGCAATCTCTTGTTAAGAAAAATAAGTCTATTAAATCGAGAGACGATATGAAGATGTAAGACATTTTGTCATTGTGTCATTTTTATTTTTAATAATCCACCAACACGAATAATCTTTTCTAATTTTCCAATAATGGGACTACAAAAAAACGAATAAATCTGGTAGCACTCTAGTCCGTGTAACTCCATTTCAATTGCAATAATAACATCCGTTTAACCCTGTAAGGCCCACGGTTGTAATTTTACAACATTACTTTAAGCTATCCTTTTTTTATAAAGACTACATTTACATTTACATTTACAGTCCTTTTGTTCAGCCTCGCAATGCTATTGGGTAGTAAATGTGTTTATAGGTCCTGCCCTCTGGCCATACACTCACACAACTTCCGAATCTTCAAACGAGCAACATCTCATTGTTTTATTGGACTGGATTTGTCCGATTCAAGTAAGTAAAATGCCTCAAAAAAATGTTTTTGTGATTATTACAATGTCTAGAACATGTACATATTTAGTTATTGTGGAATACATTCATCACATTTTATTTTGAGCAGCTTATGTCTTTGTTGTAATATTACAACACTGGGTCAGTGTGGTAGTCAAAATAGCATGTGTCCCTGTCATGGAGATTGCCCTTCTTCTATGTTCACATATGGAAATAAAACACTAATAGAAATATGATGTCTTTGACAATTCACTATAACTAAGTTCTAAATGGGTCCTCTGTTAAGATTTTGAATTAAAACCAGATTTGAATAAATTAATACAACTATCTGATAAAAGTATGTGAAATTATATCTGTAGCAATATTTTAAACTCTACTTGTATCTTATCAGTTAATTAGTTACAACAATACATTTAACTCTGGTTCTGGCAGAAACAGTTCTTTCTGAAATGTTTTGGGACACGTGGATGTATCCCTTTTAGTATGATAATTAGCCTATTATCATTAGCCAGACAGCATTGTGTGACTTGTTGAACTGGTTTACCTGCATGTGTGGGTGTAGGTATTCCTTTTATTATGATAATATGCTAAGCCAGGTAGTATTGTGTGACTCAAGTGTTCAATGTAAATAGGATTCAGATACTTGTTGCATCGGGACACCTGGAAGGGGGGGGGGGGTGCATGCATTCCTTATAGTATGATTATAGGCTAAGCCAGACAGAATGAACACTTGTCCCACCACCCTATCTATTCCTTCAGGTAATCTATTACAATATAATAAGCATATGTATTATTGATACATATTTATTAGTATACCTTTTCCATTTCAGAATGCCACCAGCAAAGAGAGGTCCTTGATTCAGTGTGCAGGATGTGATTGCTGCCATCCAAAACGGAGAAAGTGAGTTTGAGATGGAATCAGAGGACAGTGACACTGATATGAGTGAAGAAGAGGCAGATGAACATGCCTGTGGCCACATGGACAAGGAAAACCAACAACCCAATGACCCCCCAGTCAGTGATTATGTGGACATCGAGCCCCAACAACATAAACCCACCAAGCCCTGTGACAGGTATCGCTGGCTGAAAAAATATTTCATCAGTCCCAATACTGACTTTTCTGGTCCAGATACCACAGAGGATGTAATTTCCCTCCACACACCACTGGAGTACTTCCAGAGGTTTCCAGGTGATGTTGTGATGAAGCTTGCCTCCACGCTTCCAGAAGGTCAGAACTAAAAGATATACGCAGACAACTACTTCACCTGTGTCCCATTGGTAGTGAAGCTCCTTGATCGTGGGATTCATTATGTGGGAACAGCCAGGCAGGTGCGCTTACCCAACTGTAACCTTGAAGAGGAGAAGAGCTTGAAGAAAAAAGGGAGAGGAAACTTTGACATCCGAGTGGAGGCCAACCACAACATCTGTGCTGTCAAATGGTATGACAGCAGAGCGGTCCCACTTGTGTCATCCTTTGCTGGACCAGACCCTGTGCAGAGAATTCAACGCTGGGACAAAGCCAACAAAACCTATGTAGTAGTTGAGAGGCCTTACATTGTGGGTACTTACAACAAGTACATGGGAGGTGTGGATTTGTTGGACTCGTTACGGCCAAATACAAGTTCCCCATGAAGTCCCGACGCCGGTACGTGTACATCTTCTGGCACACCATCATCCTTGCTGTGATCAACGCTCCTCTACAAGCGGGAGTGCAAAGCTCTAAAGATGCCTAAGCAGGAGATCCTGAACAGGAGACAGTTTCAGGCAGATCTAGCATCCTCTCTCATCCTGGTAAGAATGCATTTCTGCTATTTGCCGTTTGTAATATTTTTTTTTATATTTCACTGTAATATTTTCGACTTGTATCCTAATGTATTTTTGACATGTATCTTGATTGATTCTGTTCTAATCAGGTGAACACAACTCTTCTGAAAACACCCAAGAGAGGACGACCATCTTCAGGCAACGGGAGCCCAGCAGCGACAGTGACATCAAGGAGCCCGTTGAATGCTCAGAAGAGAACATCCTCAGGTGAAGGGGTCCACCAAACGGGGCCCCATCCAAGAGATCACAACCTCGATATACGCAAGGACCTAATGGCACATTTTCCAGTGAAGACACTGCAGTAAAGGGTACACAAACACACAATGCACCAAGTGTGACGTCCGTCTGTGCTTTTCCGACGATAGGAACGGTTTTTGGGACTACCATTGTATTCATATTTAATAAATGACTATTCATAACAAATATGACTGATGTGTGATTATTATTCATGCTATATACTGATATAGGGCTAAGTAAGCAATCAATCCTGCAAATCAACCCTTAGTTGTTCAATATATTTATTCAGACAATGTGAGTAGAAATACGGAAATTCTGCTCCCACCTAAGCCCAACGTTGCAATATTACATTTCCCTAAAAACTTACCAAAACGTAAAACATTTGAAAACTCTTTCATTTCTGCTCCAGAGGCTCCCTACAACAACATCTGAAAGGTCAACAAAATAAATTCTAATGTTTTTCTATATTTGGGCTTTACAGGGTTTTGGTATAAAGGCCTTTTTTTGTTGTGCTTTATTTTAGTGAATATTCTTCAATAAAACTTAAAACTTTTTAATTGTGTTTTATGGCCAGACAGATTCATTTTTAATATACAGCCCAAAATGCTTTACCGGCTGGAAACAAAATCTCTCAAAAACATGAAAACTCACAAAGATAATAAAGGACATGAAAACATAAAAAGTCCAGTACCTTTGTGTATGTTTCTTTCTCAAAGCAGCTAACAGAAATCTTTCTCCCCATTTACAAAACAAAATTGTAATTGTTGTTTAAAAAAAAAAATGTTGCAACACATTTCTTTATTCAATATTTAATTCAATATAAGAATTTTTTTAAGTAATGTATTTAATTCTTAATTGTATCACTTTATTTTTTGTATTAAAACTTTTGTTTTCATATTAAATATCTTTATATATTATTTTTCAAGTTAGTTTTTATGATTGTACTCTGTACTCTGTACTCTGTACTCGTGTTGACCGCCCAACTCACGCGATCGTCACCATTTCACCCACACATGCCATCTTGCCTCCCACCACACTTCACTCCGCCATGCGAACCACCAACTTGTTGTTAGGCATCCATTTACCCCTTCAGCCAAAGACACCAGTACATATTCCAGTCAAATTTTACAGAATTGGCTTCTACGTTTTTTAAGGTTACAAGGCGACACAAAGATATTGTTAAAGAACATTTGTTTGAACTCATTGCCAGAAGTTACCATACATTTTTCACATTTGTTCCAGAAAAACTCAAGGCTACCAGGACGTGTGGAGCCGGGTTTCCTGAATATGTCATTTAGAAAAAACTGGACTTAAGCCTCTGTTTCTTTCTAACTTCACCAAACTTCAGGTTTTTTTTCCCTGTTTAAAAAAACCCTCTATTCTAACAACAAAACGGTTATCTCGATTGGGACATTCTGGCTATGACTTCATCATTTCTGAACAACATCCCCTAATTTGGCTGTGGCTGAGAGGAAGAGCTGTTGTCTGAGTGAGAAGGTGGTGGGTTCAATCCCGGCCATGCAGTTATCATGTTGATTTATCCAAGTGTGTATTGTGCTGCTTGTTACAGTTTTTATCAGTTGCTAACACACTAAAATGACACATAAAGCACAACATGTGTTTTAGCAATTGAAAAAAACTGTAACTCTTCAACTGATTTTAGTTCATCCTCCCTCTACCTCTTCCTCTTGCTGCTATCCATATATTTATAGTTTGTTGTAAAAAGTTCTTAGGCATAGCCTTTTTCTAGTGCTTTCATCCTGATTGCTGAGTCAACAATAAAGCAGTTTGGTGTTTATGGTCATTTGGCATGTGTATTTGTTAATTGGTTCATGTGTGTAGCATTTTTAATGGCAGTGTTTTGAAAATGGCAAACAAGTGAATATGTCAGACTTCTCTGTCTTACTTAGAGAACTGTGTGCAGTGTTTTGCAAAAAGTGCCAAGTTGAATTGCAAATCTTCTTGTTTCTACACAGTACTTTGTTAGGGGAGAGCTGAACCACCAAGACCTGTCAGATGCTTCTTTGACCATCCTGCCAACTAAAATGTACTTATGACTGCAGGCAACTAAAAGTCAGATCTTCAATCTGCAGCTCTTTTTTTATTACATAGAGAGATGAGTGAGAATGAGATTTATATCACTGCAAGAAGAAAGTTTCAATGTATGACTTATGTAATGTGAAGCAAATAGACAGAAAAAGATATGATACTGTACCACTTCCAATTGGGGAACAGTGTAGGATGCATCAATACATTAATATCAAGTATCAAGTATCAAGTATCACAGAGTGAAAATAAGTGGATTAGCGTTAGGTTATTGTTAATAGGAGATCTCCAAACACTTCAAAGACATCTTAATGATGATATTAAGATGTGCATGTTGCAAATCCTTGAATAGTAAAACATCTTCATTATTCTGAGAGATATTCTTCTGGCTGCTGTGACTCTATAGTTAAGTTAATTATATTGTTTCCCATTCAAGACCAAATAAAATCTTGGAACTTATTAGGAATGATCATTTTGAGATGTACCATCTCGTTTCGAGGGGGTTCTCATCATCAAAAATACAATAGAAGAATAATTAGAATAAACAATAACAGACAACCAAAATAAAACCAATATAGCAATACTACTTGTGACAAAAACAAACAAGACATTGATAATAACAAAAATAAAAGAAGGTGCATTTCTCAGTGAAAGTGGTTACCTTTGAATATAAATAATTTCTTAGTTCAGTTACAGATTACAGGAACAAAAAACAGAAATTGAGCAATCAGTAACCAATTGATGTTTTTGGGGAAAGTTACCATTAAACGTTATATACATGAAAACACGACATAATACAAACGTATAAAGACCGCTTTAAACTTTAAGTGGTGATAAAGAATATATTTATTTACTTTAGTTGAACTCACCCTCGTGTGTTCTGAGCCGTTTGTCTCCATCTATCGACATTGACGAGCAGGCTTTTTTTTTTACTTTATTAATCAAGAGTAATTTACAAACCTTTAGGGCACTTATTACTGTCAATAACATTGAAAGGTGCAAATACAGTGTAGATCAAATAGAACAAACTGTTTACATCTTACCCAAAAATTTGACTTTGCAAAAATGTTACGGTCGTTCTTCCATCCAGTGATGTGGGGCTTCACCTAAAGTTATTTGCATTTATGTATGAAGTGTTCCAGATCAAACGTTCAACTAAAAATTCCACATTATTATTTTAATTTAATAATAATGAAAAACGTTTTGCATTTCGAAACGTCCGTCCTCTATTATGATCCGACTAGAAACACGCGTTGTATTCGACTGTTATTGTTGTAGGAAGCTCATTTTCTTCGTAGGCTAAATTAGCCTTTTTATACCGTCAAACATAAATACGGTGGATTTTTTTGTTTGCTTTTAAATGGACGGTGGGCCTTGCCTTCGTGTGTCGCAGTGTCATGTACAACAGTTCAGGTAAACAGTCGCACTGTAAATAACTGCTTAAGCTAAGGAAGCTAGCACTTAGCATGGAACCCGGATACACTGATAGGAACTAAAATACGGACATCAAGATTGCTTTGATTATCAAGTTAGATTGGTTTTCTTTGTCTTTTTCTACTCATTTGAATACTCATTTTTTTATTCATCCTTTATCTTTTCTCTTACAGAAGATGTTTACAGACCAGAGCAGCTCTTGATGTAGGTTTGTGCATAATAAAAGACTCAGAGAAGACTGCCCATTTTAATATCCTGTCTGCCACCACTCAATACCACAATGGACCCAGTTATATATATCTGTATTAAACAAGGACCATGCATGCAAATACATTAATCTCAAAAAGAGAAGAGATGCTATATTCCAGATTATAGCTAAAAGTGTATTTACATCTGCAGTCCCTGGGCAGGTGCACACATACCAATTAACAAACACTAAAGACATTTCATAATGCCTATCACATTGACAAATAAAACAGATAAAATACAGATGTATACATTTGTCAATATAAATATAATTGTACAATTTCATGGTGACTGTGAAATAGTTTAGAGTCCTGTATTTAAAGATGAATACAATGAGCGGCAGACAGTACTCTACTGCAGCTATAAAGTGTTTTTTATGCCTCTCCTGTTTTGACAATTTCCTCTTCAGTCAAATAATAAGACAGAAAGAACAAGTGGTAATAAACTTGAGAAAATCCTCCAAGAGCTGATTGAATCTCATGGTGAAAGATGGACGGAGGAGCTGAGGGCGGACCTCCCTCACAGTTTTCAGAGGCATGGAGTCCTCCTCCTGCTGAAGGACAACTGCTTCTCTCTACCACTATGGAAGAACATGGGTACTCAAACTCAACCACACTTTTCTTTAGAATTAGGTGTGCAAACAAATTTACAAAAACATTGAACATCCTACCCAATCATGTTATGTGTGCTCCATTGCTATCGTCCTTCAAAAGCTTAACTGAAATACATTACCTTTTTAGCCTTGCCTTTCAATAGTCTTTGCAGGTCCTAACTTTATTTTTATTTTATTCATGCAGATTTCATTGGTTGTAACTCTTGTCCTTTTTTTAAATTGTATTGGTCAACTGTTGGTTTCAATATTTTTGGGATTTTAGTCTTACTCTTTTAATAGTTTTAATTCACATTAATGATCATAATTATTTGTATTTTATTTTTATATTGAGTGTTTTATATTTACACTATCCACATAGTGTTTTTGGTGGCAACTTCCATTGTAGCTCGTGTATTGTGCCACTTGTGCTTCCACATTGAAAGAAATGTGCTTTTTGAATAAGACTTTCCTTGCTTATAGCTTTTACTATTTCAGATCAACAGTTGTCGAGTTCAGTGGCCAGAGGACTGGGGAATTATTTAGTTAATAGTATACTTTTTTTAAATTCCAGATCCAGTTGAGTGACATTGCTGACAAAGTGAACCTGGGTCTCATACCGAGCTCTGAGGACTGTTGCCTGTCGACTGCTGAAGAGAACAACTGGGGGCCTTTTGCACTGCAATCAATGATGCAATGATGCACAGTGGACAACAAGCATCCATCACATAGAACATGTGAAGTCCTATGCACCTCATGTTCACCATGTTGTGCTGGACTTGGCGTGCAGACCATCCTGAGCTGAGGGGATGAACACAGAAACTGAGTGGACACGACTGTATTCATCTTTACACAAACACTACACTAACTCCAGTCTCTACCCTAAGCCCCTGAACCCTCCCAGATTGAATTGACCTTGTTAGTACATGAGTACTCGAGGCTGCAAAGCTTGAACTAAACAGAAATGGGAACAATTTGCTGCAGAATATCATGTTACCATAATGCCACCAAAACATGTAAAATAGGCCTACATTTGTGGATTTTAGACTTTTTATATGACATTTTTTACTTTATTTATGACAAATGCACTGATTTTAATGTATTATTAGCTCTTGATGTACAGAGGGGACAAAAGTTAATTATGAAAAAAATAGTTTACTTGTTCTTTTTAAACAGAATTATGAAGCAAACAAAAAAAATCATTGAAGAATAAACCAGTTTTGCTTGTGCTTAAATTTCTATAGTTTCACATGTTTTTGTGTACCATCATAACTCCTTTTTTATATTGCGTTTCTTTGTACATTTAGGCTTCCAGACTTCCCCTGGTAACCCCATGTATCAATGTCACAAAGCTATGAATTGTGAGTTATCTCCTCAGGCAAAGTCTGCAGAAATTTGGATTTACGAGGTCATGCACTTCAAAATGTGGGAAAACTCTAAAGAGTGTGGACATTGGGAATGGGCCGATGTTTATTCCACCTGTAAGGTAGTACAAATCAGCCGCTGCAGTGTTTATATAAACCTTTATTTATCCAGGGCAGGTTCACAGAACATAGATGCTCTTTCTTTCTTTATTTAGAAACACCGTGCTTCACAGCCATGCAAATACAAACCAATCTGGAGGCTGCCAAGCCACCGGTTATATCTTTTGTGGTGGGTTTAGGGCACTGAATTTTCCCTTGATCACTAGATCCCTTATGGTTGGTTGAAATGAAATGTTGTAGACATGACACATCTGTGTGCTGGGGATCACAGGAACACCCAGACCTATACAACTCACCCCAAGAAATTAAAAGAGGACATAAATCACATATGAACATACAGTATTAATCAGACGTAAATATACCCGTGGAACCCCACACTGTATATAAAGGTGGAACCTTAGAGGGCAGCAGCCAATTGAATCAATACTAAATAATTAATTCAATACCACATCACAGTTTCACTTCTGAGCTTAAGACAGGTGAAAAATTAAACGTACAATCGCAAAAACCTCCATAAAATGTGCTTTCATCAGTGGGCCATTTTCAAAGGAAAATCAAAAAACAGCTTATCAACTCCTAAGTGTTTCCATGTGATATTATTGTTGGGCCCACTGTCCCAAAGACAACTAGATCACTTGACATCTTTCTCAGATGCAGCTACTAGCAAGACATTTTGCAACTGATGCAAACCATAAGGAGAAAAACAAGATATATATTAAAATAAATTGTAATTAATTCCCAATCCTGCTCAGAGTAGGCTACAGTCCACAGCGCTTCTTCCAAAAGCATGGGTTCACTCCAATTTCTGTGCAGGCAGTCCCTACCTCCAAGCAACTCACACATCCACTGAGCTTTATGCAAATGAATATGTGAATGAGTATGTAAATAAGCACATTATGTGGAGAGGCAACTCATGGTCGCTTTTATTGGAAAAGAGTTGGCAAAATGTTCCCACAGGATTGCAGCTGATGGCTGATAGCAAACCTTAAAGGTAACCAATGTCATTATTTTACAGCAAATCAATTTCACTTCAAATGAAGGTCAACAAACTCCTTTATCCACCTTAAAGCTAGAGCACTGGATGTTTTCATGATGGAAAGGATGTGAATCACATGATATGGCCTTCACAGTCAGCAGGTCTGAACCATTATGAACAGCCATGTGAGATTTTGCACCCAAATAAAGGAATATCTGCTGGATGAATGATAGTAATCCTTCCAGTAGAAAGCACCAAAGCTACTCTGGCAGCTTGTGGTACCAATATCGTGTTACGAGAAAGTCAATGTAGTTATTATTTTCCTTCACCCATCTGTATGTGGAGGTAGCAGCAGATGAGAGCACACAATGTCTTTACTTGCCAAAAGAGCCATTTACCACAGACACGCCTGGATTTTTTTTGTGAGTAATGGCCGTGTGAGTTTTCTCTTAAGTGTAGCATTAATAATGTAAAAACAAAGTTAGCAGTAAACTCCAGTCACCTATCTGTGTTCTCAGTTATGCTTCATACCTCAAGTCTATGAGTACATGAAGGTACCATGTTGGGCACATTTAAGTAGTTTGGGCTAACTGTAATCAACCTGATAATTATCATTAGCCAATAGCCCGTACACATTGATATAATTAATAAAACAACACAGAAAAACCTACAAAGAAAATATGTGATTCACAGACTAATTGAAAATGTGTGTTGATGTATCCTTTTTGGGTCAAAGAATGTCATACTGTCCTCAGATTTACTGTTCATGATTACAAACTTGGATCAGTTGTTGTTAATCTCCCACCATATTAGTTGCATGGTATATTTTCCGTATTCATACAGCTTTGCAAGATAAAAAGCTATTCTTGACTGTTCTTTCCCTTGTTTTTTCCTCGAAAATGGTGTGTTATTATTTTTCTTCATATTGTATTTGCATATTCAAAAATAGTTCTGCATACCAAACCAAAAAGAGTTGTAAGACTACGGAGCTATATCAGGGTCATACGTTTTGATCATTGAAAAAAATACAATTTATTTGAAAGTTCAAGTTTTTATCTTGAACTTTGAAAAATACAATGATGTATTCAAAATAAAAATAAGTATTTGAAATAATGTTTCATGTTGAATATTATTTTGATTCAGTTCAGCAATTTTTTAGAATAAAATATTTATTTTCATATTTCACTTTTATACATATTTTGATATTTGAATCCTTCTTTTTTTCAGTTGCTGATTTTACGTATTCAGATTCAAAACCATTATTTTTTCAGTTTCAAATATTGTTTTTTCAGGTTTCACTTTTTTTTTCCTGCTGGCTCTTTGCGGATCACGTAATTTCACATTAGCACAGTTTATTGCTCTTATACCGCAATTGGTGCCAACTACGATGCTAACAGCTCGCTTAACGGAACTTTGACGCTGGTATCAGTTTTGTTTACCACCAATCACGTGAGTATTTGTGTATAGAAAGTGTTGAGTTATATTTTTCGCGCTACCTAATAATAAATAAATTCTAAATTGTATTTCTTTGAATGATCAAAACGTATGACCCTGATATAGCTCCATATACAGGGTTCGAGTTATGTGGGAGCCAATGGGAGCTGAGCTCCCATAAGGAGGGGTCTGAGCTCCCACGGACGCAGTGAAATCATACATCTGTGGGGGTCGCTAATACATTACCAACAACAACCATTATTTTAATCACAAATAATGCATGTGTCAATGTAATGAGTATTATTGAAAAGAAAAACATGTTTTCCAAAAGAACAACGCATCTCTTGAATAACAATATGCCTGCGCTGCACCTCCAAGGTGCGCAATACTTTATTGCACAATCTATGCCTGTGAGCGTGCAGCGCGAGCCGAGATGAAGTGTGTGTGCGTAGTTGAACCTTTTCATACAGGGCCGTGGTAAGTAGGGGTGCTGAGGTGCTGCAGCACCCCCTGATGGAGGACAGGGAATCTGCACGTCCACAAGATTAAATGGAAATATAATACAAATATAATACAAAAAAAACGAATTTTCGGCCTTGATGTTCACATTCATAATTAAGTAAAGATAACACCCTTTTCACCCCGGTTACATTTTCCATGTGCCCTGAGAGGCTCAGTGAGGTAAAGGACTCTGAGTGTTTAGATAGTTCACTTTAGTCTAAGTTATCTCAGTGTGTCTCAAACGGTTTGGTCAATTTATGTAAACAAATATTTCCAAGGCACACCTTTATAATTATTAGGATAAATAAAAACAGGTTTGAAATCATTCCAATGTATACTATAGGACAGTAAACCAACAATATCCTTTAAAACTGGAGAGATTAAAAAATATGGATGAATAAATAAATGTTAACTGGTAAAATAAGATATAATTGAACCAGCAAAAATCTTGCCTAGGGCAGCAAACTGGTCAGAACCGGCCCTGGTGTCATCCCCACAGCACCCCCCATTTGAAACATGTTCCCACGGCTATGTACAACAATACGCCCAAGCTGCCCCTCCTTAAAAGAAATGACAGCTAGTATCTACCTCATTGTTTAGAAAACTAGGTGTGTCTTGTTCTTGTTCGATCAGATGTTTCATGATTCAACATGTCTCATTGGGCCGTATGAACAACATGCTCTATTCCAATGCTCAGTTGCTCTGGTTGGATTTCCTACTAACGTAATAGACACTTTGGACATTTATTAATCCTAGTAGATTGTGAGTCATCAAGTTTATTTATAGAGCAGCTTTCAACACAAAGCAATTCAAAGTGCTGTACACAAATATAAGACAATAAGATCGAACAACACTAACATGTGTAGTCAAATTAGTCTGAAAATGATTTAGAAATGTTGCTTCATTTGGATGGAAAATGTGCGAAAATGTGCGAGGCGAAAATGTACCTCGGGCAGCAAACGGGTCAGAACCGGCCCTGGTGTCATCCCCACAGCACCCCCCATTTGAAACATGTTCCCACGGCTATGTTTTCATATTTAAGTTTGTAGCAAGTAGAGGGCTGCTGGCAGGCCCGGACTGGCCATCGGGAGGGCCGGGAGGTTTCCCGATGGCCTAGCGATTATCATTTTTTTAATGTAGGCTATTGTGAACGCAACGCTGCGCAAATGTGGGTTTGCCTCACACAGGGTGACTATCTGTCTACATGATGTGGCATCTGTTTCAGATGGGTGTGCACCAGATTGATGCATTTAACTCCAAAATTAAAAAAATATCTTATCAGGGGGGGCATGCCCCCGGACCCCCCTAGAGGATTTGAGGTCCACCCCCAAAATATGTTCACATGGATAGGTTCCCAAATACATTTGCAATTTTTTTTTAAATAGTAACCCCTGTTCATATGTTTATTATTGGTGTGTGTGTGTGTGTGTGTGTGTGTGTGTGTGTGTGTGTGTGTGTGTGTGTGTGTGTGTGTGTGTGTGTGATTGAGTTTGAGTGTGTGTGTGTGTGTGTGTGTGTGTGTGTGTGTGTGTGTGTGTGTGTGTGTGATTGAGTTTGAGTGTGTGTTAATTTCAAAGACCCCCATAGAGCTCAGTTTATAACTCGAACCCTGTCCATATAAGACCAGCTTTACAAACGTTATCTTTTAGTGTTTATATGGCAGAGTAATAATGTTCCTAACAACGTGGTTCATCTATCATCACTTTGCATACGCCTAGACAACAAATAAAGCCATAGTGTATAGAGAGTTGTACAGACACGCCATTTGTAGTGTCTCTTTTCCTCAACAGCAATACATTCCTCACTTTTTGTTGATATTTTGCATGATGTGTTGCATTTCCCAC